GATATCCCTTCGCCAAGGGCAGGTTTACCATCGAAGCCGAATGACTCTCCAATAGTTATGGTGGGCATCTGGATAAACTATATTAAAATTGTTTGCATCACTGGAAATACCGTTTTTTAATTCTTCTTACAAAATTTGTATTTTTTGTAAAATGTTAAAAACACATTTTCGTGCTATAGAGTGGGCTGTGGTTTAGCTATTTATTTCTTCAACCTAAGTACCAAATCTGTGTTTATTATTTATTGGAATTTATATGGAGGTAAATGCACAACACCGTCAGCTAAAAAAATTATAGAAAATCACCAGTAATTTTTAGCGACTGCAAACTTGCACTTTACTGGACTAAAATTGAAGGGGCTACAATACAGTACCCCCGAAAATTTTCTAAATATTCCGAATGAAGAAGTTTGAAACTTTGCCAACTTTTTAAGTTCCTTTCTTTGTGTCTTTTTGAATTGTAGTGTAAACCATGGCCCACAGCTGTATCCAGCCAGCAAGAAAATGTACAATTTACGAACATTATGTTTTACGAGGGATTCTCGATCGGCGAAAAGTTAGAGAAAGACTCGTAAACGATAAAACAACAAAAAGTAAATGAACGAGGCTTGTAGTAATTTGTCAGCACAAGAAACAATTTTTATTCTGTTGGAAATTTTTCTTAAACCACAATATTTGACAATATATAATATTCGCATACGAATGCGCTCTCGATCCGTTTACGACTGTTCACAGGCGCTCGACAATTTCAAGCGAAAAAGTACTCGAAAACGAATCGTAAACGACTATCATAAACGACTTTTTAGCCCGTTTTTCTTCGAGAAAATATCCAGTTACGAGCTCGTTTACGATGATTTTGCTGGCGGGTTTTGTACATACATAGTATGTAGCTCTGTGTACGTTTTTTAATGTACATATTTGATACGTAATTTGCATTTAATTTGTTTGCACTTCTACCTAGTGCTAAAAATAGTCTTGATTGTAAGTGTTGTGCACATATTCAAGGAGCGCTTCAAGTACAAAGAAAGACAAACAAAATCAGCATACATACATACGTACATCATTGCCCTTTCTGTAGGTCTTATGGTAAATAAGACTCCGGATGAAAACGACACGTGTATTTAAGTTTAAGGGCCGGTTGCTCAAAGCCTGGTTGACACTAATCACCGGTTAAACATCGTTATCGACGTTACCGACACCATGTTATTTGCATGGAGCCGAAAACGTCGATAACGATGTTAATCGGTGATTAGTGTCAATCAGGCTTTGAGCAACCGGCCCTTAGGGTCGGCTGTTCAATGTCTGGTTATCACTACTTGCCGGTTAGACATCATTATCGACAATTTCGACATCATGCGTATAACATGTGATCGTTGTATCTAACCGGAGCTTCTACCTCCGATTTGTGCTAATCAGACATTGAACAACCGGCCCTTAGGCCCTTAGGACCGGTTGTTCAATGTCTGATTAGCACAAATCGGAGGTAGAAGCTCCGGTTAGATACAACGACTGCTTTATCGATCACATGTTATACGCATGATGTCGAAATTGTCGATAATGATGTCTAATGGGCAAGTAGTGATAACCAGACATTGAACAACCGGCCCTAAGACTCTTCCGATTAAAATTAGGCAGTCGTTCAGAAACCTCACGAGAGAGATTTTTTAAATCTCTTGAATTTGATTGTAGAGATTTCTTGGAAGGTCTGCCGGGTATCCCTTGGATAGACCGCAGAGAGGCTGAGGGTCATTCAGGCTTCATTTGCTTCGCATTCATTTCGCGAGTTCCTTCTTTGTACAGTATACTTTGGCAACTTTCTATTAGCCTAGACACCATTTTATACGAGTCCAAGGTTCAAAATGTCACCTGGCTGACATGATTTTTATAGGGGCTCTAAGGACATCTCGAATATCGGTCGGTATGTGTTCATATAGGCAAATAGTTTTAGTTATAATACTTGTTTAGTATCATGTCTTTTGATCCTAAACCACTAATTTTTCTGATATGAACCATTTAGAATAAGGATGCATTCCAAAACGCTAGAAAGACAAAGCACCAGTCTCATTTATTTCGAAACCCTACTAAAAGAAAGTCTAACTTAGAAAAACACTAGACATTAGAAACCCATCTGAATTCAACATTACAATATGATTAGTTATCTAAATAAGGGTGAGAGCCGACTCATGTGGAAAAACTTAAGGAGGTAGTCAATAACACGGAGGTCAAAGAAAATATTGGAGAAGTGATAGTAAATAACACCAACTACCTAGACAGCTTTGAAATTGCGAAAAACTTAAACAATTTTTTTGGGCACAGCATACATGCCAATACAGAGTGTGTAAACTATGACTATGCAAATTGGGGCAAACAACCTACAATCTGAAGGTATTATTAAGGACTCTGCTGATTATATGGGATATTTCTATGCCCTACTAATAAATAAGAGTATCCAAACAGGATCAGTGTCGGAGAATGGAAAATTTCGTCAATAGTGCCCATTAAGAAAGTTAAAAAAGGGTTAAAGCGCAGGAACTTAGGTCCATCAATACTCTCCCTAGTTTGGAAAACATGCTAGAAACCGTTGTGAAAAACCAGCTACAGTACTATGTGGAATCCAATAAAATACTCATAAAACAATCTGGATTCAGAGCTAAACATTTTTGTGAGACTACGTTGAATCTGGTGCTATCTCAATGGAAAGAAGATCTTTATTGATCTTAAAAGAGCATTTGAATCAATTGATAGGGTCCAAATGTTGGATAAGCTAAAATACATTGGTATAAAAACAGAGCTTGACTGGTTTAGAAGCTTTCTATGTAATCGTAGGCAACAACCAATAGTTTATTCAAAGATGTCTAGTAAGATAGCCGTAGACATCGGCTTACCACTGGGCTCAGTTTTGGCACCCCTACTCTTTAATATATATAAACGATATAAAAAGTTCCCTCCAATATTATAAATTAAAACTCTTTGCGAGTGATGAGTTCTGTCCCACTTCTCCGGCAACATAGAAAAGAGAATTGTGAGTAGTAAGGGTTATAATCCCTAAGCGTGGCCGAAGGTCGCCTACGCAGAAAGAAGTTCTGTCCCACTTCTCCGGCAACATAGAAAGGAGAATTGTGAGTAGTAAGGGTTATAATCCCTAAGCGTGGCCGAAGGTCGCCTACGCAGAAAGAAGTTCTGTCCCACTTCTCCGGCAACATAGAAAGGAGAATTGTGAGTAGTAAGGGTTATAATCCCTAAGCGTGGCCGAAGGTCGCCTACGCAGAAAGAAGGTCTGCCCCACTTCTCCGGCAACACATAATCCACGTAATTTTATCGTATATCTACGGTAATTTTCACCGTGGATCTACGGTAAAAGTTACCGTGACACGTGTGTGTAGACACTGCATAAAACATTGACGTACAGGTCAATAGTAGAACCCCACTTTATATACTGCCCTACGATTTTCTTCCTAGCGGGTGACTCGCATATAGATAAGGTGCAAAAAATGCAGAGCCGAGCGATGAGATTCATCCTCAACAAACCGTACGACACACCAACAAGATGAATGCTTGAAACTTTGAATTGGTTAAGCGTGAAGCAACAGGTTTTTAACACGCTATGAAATTTGTAAACAATATTAAGAAGGGCAACCTGCCGGATTATCTTAACGATAATCTCCGATATACATATAAATGTGACCCATATATATTTGTTTAGAGAGATTAACAGCTTCAGACTCCCGAAGTATAGAACTGAAGTGGACAAGAAAAATATTTTATATAAAGGCTTAAAGTGCTGTAATGAATTACCAGAGGCTATAAAAAATTGTGAAACTTGGCCTTTCCGACCGCCTAGTGTACATTAAAAACCAAAGATAATAAAAAATAAATGGGCGGATTGGAAGCTAGGCCTTTCCAACCGTCACGAAAGCGCGACTGGGCGGATCGGAAACTCGGCCTTTTCGACCACCCAGGAGATATCAATATACGGAGAAACCGAAAAAGTATAGCGCGGATTGGAAACTTGGCCTTTCCAACCGGTTAGCTAGCCTCCGGCCAATGGCATGCTTTTATATTAATATAAAAGTTTTGCAGTGATAAAAACAAATTTATTTAAAATTTCCGTAGAGTATATCATAGTTAATATTTAAGTTTTAAGTCTTAATCTAATTTTAAGAACGCTAAATCTTTGTTATAAGTCTAAATAAATAAATAAACTAGATTAATAGATACTTTCCCAATGAACATACATAAATACATTAATATCGCTTATTTACTACAATAGTGTAAACATAAAAATACAAATATTTAGCTAAGTATGCAGAACTTAATGCTAAAAGCCTGATTATGACAACTTAACTTAACGGAACTTAGAAATTAAAAATCAAAATGAAACAGATTTGGACGTGGCATAAGCAACATGCATTTTTAAGTGAGATCCTGCAAGTTATGTTATTATTATGTAATAAATTACTTACATATCCAACTCTTGGTATCACTGACATTTTATTCCGAAATTCAGTGTCTGGGTATGACTTTTTGCACTATTCGACTATGTACTTAGATTACAGTTGTAGTCTCAAAATCAGTACGTGGAACCAAAAAAATTAAAATTGTAGAGTTCATCACTTGCTTAGTATTGGACGGGCATCACTGAAATCATCCGATTTAGTAGATACATTTTCACAATCCACATTTCCCTTCATATTTGCAAAATATGTATAAAACAGGCATAAAAACAATAACCTAATGAACGATTTGCAAATGCATTCAATTGTATGTAAAATAGATTCCCCTCGTATGCACGCAAGCTTATGTATATACACAGATATGTATACAGCTGGTTTTGCTAAATATTTACTCTGCACACTTCTTCAAAATAAATTTGGATTTATTTTCTTAAAAATATTTGCGCTGTTTATCTATTATTTAGCTTCAAACAAGCTTGAAGCTTGTCCACCGACACCAGTTGCTTCAACTTATTTTGTTTTGTTTTTGTTACTATCCGTCACCCACGATTAGGAATGGGTAACACTGCGCTGCACGAAGCAATTGCGCTAACACCGTAACTGGAGTTGCCACGTCAACAGCAATATATGAAAGCGTTAGCGCCATTTACACCAGAAACACGAGACGCGCATAATTCGCTCTTATTCTTTGAAAAATTACATGTGCTAAAGCTAAAAAAATCGCGCTATGGTTACCCACGACGGAGCTAGGAATGTTCGATATTTTAGAAAGTATCGATATCATGAATCGATTGGGCCCTGTCACACGGTCAGTATTTATTGACGTGATCCAAGTATCGCGATATTTATTGACGGTGTAGCATGAACGAAAGACACAAAATCATGATTCAATAATACAAGGTTAGATAATTATTGACAGCTGCGGTTTGACACTCCCTTACAAAAGGTTGCATTTACGAAGGACAGAGAAAGGGCAAGAATGCAATCCCTTGTTGCGAAAATGGTAGTCGAAATTTACTCAAAGTAGGCAATTAGTAGTGAAATTCCTTTCGTAAATTCTAATGTATTTGCAGGAAATCTGGCATTTTAAACGAAATGTTGAACGTAATATTGATATATCTACGTGAATTACGTAATTTATATGCTATTTAGCCGTATAATAACTGCAAAATGACTCAAAATTAAAATAAGACTACTATGAGATTGATGTAAACATCCAATGCTTAGGTTTTCATCAGTTAAATATGCTTCATATGCATATACAAATAAACATATTGCACAAAAGCTTATACTTTTATTTCACGCCCAAGCTACACTGTTTCCATGTAAATTTGCAAAGAAGCAACACGTTCCCACTGCTAAGGGAGCGGTGCGAGAGAGACAACTGTCAGTTTATCGAACCTTGTATTATTGAATCATGCACAAAATCACGTAAGAACAAGAGAGTGAAAAAAGTCGATTTTTTTAGCGGGTTCTACGCCATCTTGTCTCACTGGAAAACGAGCGAAAAGTAAACAAAGAAAAGAAAACAACGAAGACCAAAATTAGCCAAAATTATTGTCAGCCACTTTAAACGCACAATTTAGGTAAAATGATGCAACAAAATGCTTTAAAATGTGTTGTCATGTTGAATTAACTCTTCTTTACTTGAATAAAAGTGTAAAATAGTGGTGCTTGTGATGTAAACAAACGCTCAGCTGACGAACCCGCTTTCGCAAACTTTTTTCTTAAAACCAGTTACAAATACAACGTCGCGTTCTTACGTGATCTTGTATTTTTGGTTCATGGAAGGACAGCTTGAACCAAAAATACAAGATCACCTAATCAAAGAAGCAAGAAAAAAGTATATTTCTGAGTGTTTTTGACATCTGCCTAAGAATGAAAACAAACAAAGAAAACGAAAAAGGCGCGGTGATTGAGTGCGATTAAATTGGTATTTATTATAAAATATACAAAGTGAAACTTGATGACAATTAGCAAAAAAAGTTCATAAAATATGGTTTTCATGATTGAAAGTGTTTTACAATCGCATATCATTACCACGGGTCGATTTTTCAATGCCAACGTTCTGGCCACAAACGTGCACCCACTTTTCAAGCAAATTTACGCCTTTTGGCAAACCAAACATACGCACAAACTTGTTCCGATCACACAGCACTTTATTTTATATCATAAATATGTAATAAACCAAAATTTATAATTAAAATCGCTGCAGAAAACACATTCAATCGCTAAAAAATCACTACGAAGAGGTAGAAGACGGTGTAAACAAATCCGAAAAACGTCAAAAACGGTACGAAAACTTTTTTCTGAAAATCGATTACAAATACCACGATGGCTGATTAGGTGATCTGTAGTCGTTGGTTCATGGAAGGACAGTATGAATTACAACAAACACATCATTTCAACGTTCTCATTTCAATGGCCAAATATGCATCACCATTGAATTCGCCTTGAATGCAGCGATAAGCAGCGCCAAATAGATATATAAAAGATTCATCGATATTTTTGATCGATAACAATCACTGTGAAAGTACTCGATACAACACAATTCGCCATACACCATGCAGATATTTATTAGAAATTTAAAATTTTAAGAATTTTAACATAAATTGTTTATCTTCTTCCATGAAAACTATTCAAATATGACGAAGTTTCACCGTACACAACACACATGATTCAACAATTAATGGTTTACTCAATAGTCTAGGTTCAGGCGGAGAAACTTTTGTCGCGACAACTCGTTACTTGTAGGAGAGGGGCAGACGAGGAAAGGGGAGGGACACCGAGTTGCTCGTGCTCGGGCAACACCAAGGCGAAAAACTCAGCTGTCGCCCCAACACCACCTTGTTTAATACACCTTGGGCAACACGCTTTGTGCTCTCGTTCGTCTGAGTAATTCTAATTGGCCGTTCACGGCTGACAACAACAATTGTGTACAAAAGAATTTCTCTGTGTGAACGTGAAGGGCAACACCAAAAGAGAAATTGCCGAAAATGGGCGTGTTTGAATCGGTAACAAAGTTCTGTGGGGAACGCTGGTGAATGATATTTTTACTATGGTGAGACAGTTTTGCCAATCTGCTGTGTGAAATGAAATCTTTTTTGACACATCTCATCTTTATTTTCAAATCTCTAGCAAAAGTTTACTTCCTTCTATGTGCCACCGTGATCACTTTTCTCTGCTATATTAAGCAATTTTAATATATGTATTTCAACTTAATATTTGTTTAAAAATACCTTTACAAACCTCTTTTCGTTGCTAGCGTCAATTTTTGTTTTTTATTTTTACATTGGGCATTTCTCTTCTTCTTCGCAAATAATCGATAAAACTAGTCTAGACACCGAAAAGTTATCTGTTTAATCTGTGATTATTTTATAATTACAGATTACCGAGGGCGAATTTTATATGATTAAAAATAAACGATATTGTACGTTACTAATTCTTTTCGTTTATTACTTCAGCAGTTCGGTACAATACAGAGAGAAAACGGTTCAGTTCACTTCGGCGATAATACACTAAAGTGGTTTAGTAATTACAGACAAAACAACAAACGAACGACACTATCGATAGTGGCAATAAAAGGCAAACCATCGATACTATCGATAGTGCCATCGATATTTTTCCATCGCTACTGTTGATATCTAATTATAAACTATTTTTTTGGTAAATACACGTAATTCTTACAAAATTGTTGTTTAGTAAAGTTGTAATAAAATGCCTATTGATGCACGAGAATTAATGGAGGCAATTTCTATAATTGCCAATCAGCGCAATGTACGAGTGACCGCGAAACAGGCTGGAAAAGGAGCTATGGGTATGTGTAGTATTTGGATGCTAATAAGGGATTTCATTATACTAGAAAAATTTGCGCCATACATTTTTTGTTTTAGTTTGTGCAGCGAGTGCTTTTGCAGGGGGATTATTGCTTGGTCCTTTAGGTTTAGTTGTTGGTAGTACCGCCGGTGGCTTGATGGCATATAAAATGACTAGTGGTAAGTTGGAACTTTTCTTCGTATACCATCCGCTTAAATAAAGTTTAATTGTTAGATGAATCATATGTATAATTTAAACACAATAAGCGCGTGCTGATAAGCTACCCAACTTTCTTAAATAAGTGGACTTTAATCTTTAATTTTTTTCTTGTTGAAGGCACCTTCCGACCGTTAGCTGATGTATTGTTAAATGATTTAACGGATCGACAACAAGAGCAGTTAGTGCGACGTGTCAACAATGCAGTTGCTCAATTCGAAATATCCGATTTGGCACTATTGCTGCCGTTGATAATGAACAACGCAAGCATTCAACAAGCAGTTTTGAAGACGGCGATTTCGTTTGTATCAAATGAGCTAAACCTGCAAATAATCGACTGACCTTTAGGTATTATATGGGTTGCTAGGGAACATTTAACGCAATTGGGCACAATATTTCTAAAAAGCTGTTTGTATATAACATTACTTGCTTTTTATTCATGCGTATTGTTCTTAGTTTTTGTTTATGTTAATGTATTCAAAGGTTAAGACGCAAAAATATTAACGCGAACAGTAAGCATAAAGTAATTTTCATTTTTTATTAAAAGTAAGATTAAAATAAACTGAGATTAAAATTAAAAGAACTTTTTTCATTCGAGAGAGAAATTTCTTATAATTATGTTTAAATTAACTGCAGTTGTCTGAGAGTCTAAAGATTATAACGAGGAATTAAAAAATGGTCTTCCCCCAAGAGCTTACAAGAGTAGAGTAACATTTAATTCAGGTTTTAACTTTTTTTATTAGCTACATATGTCTATATCTGCGTTTTATATGATATACATACATATACACAATTCAATACAGTTTTCAACAGTTACAAATTAGCAGTGGAGTTTTGAGTAAGAATAATTAGGTGTAAAAATATAATGGCTATGTTTATTGCAAGCTTAACCTACTCACATAGTATGCATGTATGAGTTTAATCTTAATATATATTTTTAATACATTATGTTAATCGATACGCTCCTTAAATACTCTTTAATCCCAATCGACATTGACCTGATCCCAATCGGAGACGAATGGTTGATCGATCATTTCAATCATTACACCACAAAAATAACAATCAGCAGCAACCATATTCTCGATTTCGGTTTTTATTTCAGCGCGTTGAATTTGCACAACTGCTGCGTCGTTATCCATTGGCATACTTTGAGTCAATAGTGTTTCCAGTTGTTGTTTAAGCGTGGCTAGTTGGTGACTTTGATCTCTGCTTAATGTAGGTAAAATTTGTTTTTCTATACAATCACTATGAAATTTGTGACCACAGACAAAAACGAAGAATGGCTTTACTAAGAGAAATGTTTCGCAAAGGTTGCAAGTCTCTTGCGCGTTTATACGAATACTACGCGCACGACAATTTTGCAAGTCTTTGAGCACACGCATGGCTTGTTTGTCACACTCATCCATTTCGTGTTTAAGTTCAAGAATTTTTTGGTTGTAATCCTAGGTAATAAAAAAAAAATTAGATACAATTATAAATTAAAACTTCAAGATTCCTCACTCTTAGCGCCTCGCAAATTGCTTCTTTAAAATCATCAATCTTTTCGAAATCGGAGAAAAAGGGCAGTAAATCTTCAATACGCAGCAATTCACATTCTTTTAGAAGATCTAATGCTTTTTTGACATCATTGGTACCTTGTATTTCATGTTGCGCTAAAAAGGATTAAAAAAAAATGATTTGTATTCCTTTTAAACTTGATATATTTCCTTACCAATAACCAGCCACATCTTTTCGCGGTCCTCCTCTAATTGTGGTTTCGAAGCCGTTTCCTTTGCCAGTTTTAAATCAAAAGTTAGTGCTAACTCCACCGCGGCAGCCCACATTTCATTCAAACACATTAGAAAAACCGTCGCCACATCTACATGGAAATGCTGACACTGCAACATCGCATAATTTATTTCGTAGTGAATCAGACTCAAGTCTTGTCCCTCATTCTCTAGGTATATTATTACTTTTGAGGGCTTATATTTGGCATACAAATGTATAATGTAATTATGCACGGTTTCATGAGTTTCACCCAACTTGTATATCGCATATTCCAGATACCTTATGATTTCTTCTATATGTTTTTCACTTTCTTGTATTATCAGCGTCGGTATGAGCTCTTTTATATCTAATTTTCGTCCCTGTGACATAAGTGTTGCTATTGTTTCATGAGGCACATATTCCATCAGTATAGGACAATACTTGTAATACAATTCTAGGTTATCTTGCTGAGTCAATGTGTGCAGCGCATCTTTAAATTTATTCACGCCAATTTGCTGGTCTATCACTTCCTCGTAATCACCATTCGCTATAGCGAATTGTGAGATATTATGTACATCAGCATGTTCTTTCAATAGATTACGTATGGCTTCTTTATTTTGGCGAGCACAATCGGCTACACGTGCAGCCTGCATAAACTCGTCAAATTCACTTTGCCATTCAGCGCGCTCCTGTGCACTACGCCGAGGGTAATTGATTTGCGTTAAATAAAGATCTATAAGCCATACTACCAACACCGATATCGTATCTGGATCGTTACCCACCATCGCTAAACGCTTTTTAACGTAGCGTATGATCGGCCTCTTATTTTCTAGTTTCATAAATTTTAAACTGATTTGCTCAAAATGTTTTGTTGTTTCCGCATAGAAATCTGCGGCTACATTATAATCACCTTTTTCAAAAGCTGCGTCTGCTTTTTTGGTTAGTACAGTGTCTAAATGTTCTGGCTGCTCAGCGGCGTATATTTCAGCCAAGTCATACTGACCCTTTTCTAAATATATACGCCAAATATCACGTTGTTCGTCTGTAATTTTAAAGTTGAAAAACATTTTATCCGTGTAAACATAAATAGTGCCAGTAAAGGGATCACGCATAAGACCAAGTAGTTTTCCCATTTGCTCATGGAAAAACTCTTCATACACCACTTTTTCGTTTAGTAGGCAAATGCCGGTGATGTGATCCGAATAGAATAAAAGTGCATGATATTCGGTTAGAGCTAGAGCTCGTGGAGCATTTTGCCGCCGCTCTTCGTAGGATAGATGTTTGTATTGCTTGTAATCCAAGCTGATAAGATTGTCACCGAGTAAAACATTGGTAGAACGCTCTTCGGTGGATATCTAAAAGTTGTTACATTTTTTTTTTTAATAAATAAGAACATAAACATACATTAAACTTTACCTCTCCGAAGCGTATACCGCTACCACACAACCAGGCCCATTGTTTGGGCAGCTTTTCATTTGGCTCTCCGTACAGCTGCAGCACCGAATAACTCAATTCAGTTTCAACCATCTCGGCACCATGAATTTGTTGCCCATTTACATAATTGGCAAAAATGAACTGTAGAGATCTATCATCAGATTTACAATTCTCTTGGAATGTGTAAATGCAATCAGGTGCAGTTGCAATGACCATAAATCTGTTTGTATTGGGTAGGCGTAATAACTCCAATCCCGTTATGGGATACTTTGTACGTCCCAAACCCAAGTCGTACACCTACAAATAATTTGTGGTAAGTAATTGACAGAAAAAAGTACATGCATACATATTACTTGTTTTCGATACAGGGGAGACAAACCATCTTGCACCAGTTCCGTTTCGAAAATCAGACCCCTACTGGTACCCAGCAATATTGGTCCCGTAGAGGATTCCGTGCCCATATAACGGTTAAATGCGACCGATGTAATTTCATGATCTTTGAACTTTTCCACACGCCTCACTTTTGGCCCATTCGCATGTATATAAAGAAAGTCTGCCGATAGACCGGGCGTCTGCGGAACCAATGGTATAAGTGTATGGTGTCCAGTATAATCGAGGAATACTTTTGATATAGCGTAACCCGCTAAATACTTCTCCAATGCAATTTCTATCAAAAAAATATATAAATAATGTAAGTGGCATAAGTTGATATCATATGGTGAACATATAGTTCTGTTTACATACCGCCTGGAGGCAGCGCTCTAGGCAAAAAGAAACGTAATAATATAGTTTGCTGCGTATCCAGCACACAAATTAACCATCTCTTATTTACAGCTGCATGCATTAAGTTTCCTTTGTAGTTCGATGGTATACGCAACGTTATTTGGCGTTTGCTGAAAATGGGCGTCTCCAGTTTATCATAATCTGTTGTGCCAGCAGCAGGACAGTCTGCAGTTTTGCCATCTACCACAGGTAGGAACTTTGCACTTGGCTTATATTGCATCCAGCTGTTATCTTCATCAAAAGAAGACATTGTTTTGCTTCACTTTAAATTAATTAAACTATGCACAAAGGAATTGAACAATTTTCATCGAAATTACAAATTATCTATTAATTCCGCTGCACATATACATATGTACATATATCTTTTTTGCAAACAGCTGTTTTGCTAAAATACAGTGTTGCCACAATCCGGGGTAAAATTATTTTGAAAAAAGGGGGATATTAAGGTACACATAAGTGGGATGTATTCCCACTTTTGATAAGATGTTAACAGTTGCCAATAGATGGCGCCTGATATTACAAAAAATTGTTTAGCCCTGTTTTCGTATTGTAGCGAAAGTGCGCAACAGGGGCGTGCTTTCTCTTTTGCTGTAGTGCGTTTTTTGATTGGATGAAAAGAGAAGGAACGCCCCTGTTGCGCACTTTCGCTACAATTATAACGAGTTGCCCCTTCTTTCTTTCTACGTTCTTTCGCTCTATTAGCGGTAGCCCCTGGAAGCGTGCAGCCTCGACGGGGTCTGTCCATAGGGTCACGGGCGTTAGTGAGGTGGGATTCACAGGGCATACGAAGAGATGCTGTGAGTCATGAGTCGACTCTCCGCATGTCGGGCATTCGTTAAGAACATCCTCCGAGTCTCCCGAGGCAGACGAAGTTCTGTCTCGTCCACGTCTGGTGGTTGTGTGCCCAGAACGGCATTCACAGGTCGGGACTCGAGACTGCCTCTCTGTGAATGCCGTTCAAGGCCTGTCTATAAGCCGTTAGGTCCAGAGGTTGTTTGATGAACCTCTGGACCTCGTCCGTCAGTTCGTGGAGATGCCTCCTGACATGCCTGGGCGAGGGCTCTTCTGCAAGGAGTTGTCTGTTTGGGTGACCACGTCTGTGGCTCCCAACCAAAAACTGCGTGCAGAGCATTGTGTTATGCTCCTTAACAGGGAGCATGTGGGCCTCGTCATGCAGGTGGTGTTGCGGCGAAATCAAAAGGCATCCTGTCGCTGCCCTGAGTGCAGTGTTCTGGCAAATCTGAAGCTTCATCCACTGCGGCATAGTTTAGAACCGGCCGGCCAATTGCCTTGTACGTTGCTAGCAACGTTCCTTTGTCTTTGCCCCAGGTGCTGCCGGCTAGCGACTTGGAGGCCCTTGTTGCGGCTTTGTACTCTGTTGCCAATTGCGGTTGTATGGACCGAGAAGGAGAGCAGACTATCGAAGGTTACTCCGAGTACCTTCGGGTTATTCTTCGTCGAAATTGGTGTATCATCGACGTGAAGTCTGGACTCCTTGGTCCAGGTGGTAAAAAGTATGGCTGAGGATTTTGTAGGGGGGAGGGTTAGACTCCGTGCAGTGAAGAAGCGAGAAAGCTCGGCGTAATACCCGTTTACTTTCGAGCACAAGTGATCAATTGCATTTTAAGACGCTATGATGGAACAATCGTCAGCATAAGAGGCTATCGAGACTCCCTCTGGTGGTTGAGGGAGCTTTGAAATGTTAAAGTTAAACAGTAATGGGGAAAGGACACCACCGTGTGGAGCCCCCTGTTTTATTTTCCTAGGTTTGCTCGATTTGTCTCTAAAAGCTACTGACGATTGATGACCCCTCAGATAATTCGCCGACCACCGCTGTCGAAAACAAGAGGGAGGTTTTGGCAGTTTGTGCGGCTGCTCACTTGACGTTTGGCTTAATCCTGCGGAGGATGCAAAATGAACTGCCGGCTAAAATAGCTCGTGCATCGCTCCGGGTCCGACGAAGCGTGGTCACAAAAGTCTATTTCAACTCTGTCGTCATGTTTCATCGGGTTGGACAATGACCTTACGGTTGATCAAAGCTTACTCACACCAGAGGCGAAGTTGCAGGCCTTCAGATGCTCTTCCCATTTCTTCCGCTTATGCACAAGTTGCCGAATTTACGAGTTGAGATCCCTGATACGGGGATTTACGGGATTGGCTTGACGAAGGTTGCCGCGCTCATCGGCTAGGACAGCCGCTTCAGCAGGAAAATTCGGACGGGGGTTCGAGATGCATCCCGCTGGGACGAAGCGGGCTGTAGCAGTAGTTATAACCCTGCGGAATTTACGCTCACCTACGTGAACGTTGGTTGGTGTGGGTAGTGCAGTGAAGGCGCTTTTAGTAACATCTGCGAAGCCTTTCCAATCAGCTTTAGAAAAGTTGGCATAGTGATCCGCGGAAGCAAAGTCAGCTGGTTCATCGATCGAGATGATTATGGGCAGATGGTCTGATGCTAAAGTCAGCATAGGTCACCATGATATGCTGTTTATCAGACCAGCACTGACTATTGTTAGGTCTGGAGGGCTGCAGCAGCTGCCCATAATCCTGGTGGGTGCGTCGTCGTTCAACTACTATACGGTTTTCACCTCTGAGCAGCGCACCTATTTCAGGGTGATATCCTGCAGGGCAGCTAGTGGCAGGGGATATATATACGTTAAATATTTCGAGTTCGACATCGCCTGCCGGATAGCAATACCCTGACCCAAACGGAGTTAGGTCGCCGAAACAACAGCCGCTGGTCGGGTAAAACCAGAGTCATTCCGGTACGTAGACCGTCTGTCGTGGGAATGTTTTTAGTGTTCGTTGTGTTCTTTGCTTTCTTTACTTTTCATTCGTTTTCTTGCGAAACATGATGGCGTAGAACCCGCTCAAAAAATCGACTTTTTCACTCTCTTGTTCTTGCGTGATCTTGTTTCGTTCGTTCATGGCATTATCCAGTTAAAACCAGTAAAAGTTTTACTCGTTGAGTATTTTCGATGCATCGATGTTTCTCCGACATCCCTACAGCAACAGATACACATAAGTGGTCTGTATTCGCGCCGCTATTGATAAGATGTCAACAGTTGACAATGGATAATATTACAAAGAAAGTTTTAGCCCTGTTTTCATACGTATTATCCAGTAAAAACCAGTACAACTTTTCCTGGCGTTTTCGTCAATGATAAATTTAAGCAATTTATCCCTTTACCACTTTAGATGAAGACCCCTATTATAAAACGAGAAATCCGATAAAAAATGTACCTCGGTCTATGTTGTAGTTTACAAATGAACTCATATACTAGTACAAGCTCAAAAGTGATGAAGGCTGCCTCTCTTTGATTTCGAGTTCAAAAGAAATTGCGAGCATATTGTATTAGCAATAAAGAAATATTACATCTATGCAGCGTTGCCATAAGTCAAGATTTATCTTGAAAATTAAGATTTTTTGGGCTCTTTTTTATTAAAAATCTTCAAAAGAAGATTTTTTAAAAATCAAAATTTTACACTGAAAATATTTTCAAAATAAAGATTTTTGTGTATGATGTAACATATTTAGGGCCGGTTACTCAATGTCTGGTTAACACTAATCTGCGGTTAAGCATAGTTATCGACGTTACCGACACCGTGTTATATGCATGGAGTCGAAAGAGTCGATAACCGATGTTTACCCGCAGATTAGTGTTAACCAGACATTGAGTAACCGGCCCTTAATTTTTAAGTTAAAATTCTTAACTTATTTATATTATCCTTGCTACATCATTGTAAGCAGCAAATTAAGGATGAAGAAAAATGAAATACGAAATCCCCTACAATATTATCTGCCTTCTTCTCTCGCTCAGTAAAACATATACTCTAGTGCAGAGCTAGAGACTGGAGGAAAAGAACAAACGGTCTTTTGTATCCCCTCTAAACTGCCATTTAAGAAACATTTGCTGATGGGTCTACATGGATAAATGTATAACGAGAAAAAAGGGGCGGTAAGATTTATAAAACAACTTCTATGTAAAAATACCCAAATAAAAAATCGAATTAAAAAGCTCAAAATTGTTATGGAACTTTGTGTTATGGTTTTTGATAGATAACGAGCTATTCTTTCATAAAAAAAAAACAAGTACAGTGGTCGTCCAGTATAACGAATGCCTAAATAACGAACGCTCCAAATAACGAATGCCTTTTTTAATTGTATTGATTACTCTAAATAACGAACGGCTGAAAAAAGGAGTATTCTATATAACGAATGCTTGTTTACTTTGTGCGCTTGAATGACATGATTTTGCATGATTTTTACGTACGATGAATTACCATCGGTTCAAAAGAATAACTTCTTACAAGTGGTCGCGTTTATTGACCTGGAAAAATACCTCCGTCGCGTACAAGTTTGTTATTTATTAGGTGATAAAATAAAATAAAAAAACACAATTTAAGGGAAATTGGAATATGGGGCTCATATGTAATATATAGACTGATTTTATTGAATTGTCATAATAAAATTTCAGTTCGATATAGCGTATGAACACAAACATTATATCTTTCGTTATACTGGACGACCACTGTAATTTTGAAACAAAACAAACACAAGCGACTTCAATTCTCATATAAAAATTGATCGTCAATTTCTTCATGACCCAATGACCGTATCAAAACCAAATTAGTATGCGACCACCCTTGAGGTACCACCTTTCCGATAAAAAGGAATTATCGAAATCAGTTGAAGTAGGCCAAAGTTATGCGGTAACATACATTAATAAAAAACATATTCGCACGAATTGATAAACTCCTAATTTTTTGAAGTCGGTTAAAATTTCCAAAATGTCGCGTCCCTATTTATATGTTAACTGTGCACAAAATGTTGTATGCAACAAGACAATATGCATTTTAAGTTTAAGTTGTTATAAAAAAGACTTTATAACTTGAAATTGGTAATTTTTTCAACCAACATAATAAGGGCTATTTACAGCCGTAAAGACAATCTCGAATTTAGTGTTTATTTTTAAGTATTTTTAAATGAAGATTTTTTGGGATCGAAAAGTTTTTCTTTAGCTTTAAAATCTTAGTTTGAAGATTTTTTTGGAAAAAAATTAAAATTTTTAGGAGACTTTCTCTGGCAACACTGCATATATGCGTCCGAGGCTTTTCCACCAAGGCATCATCGTCCAAGCGTACGACAAGTCTAAACCATGTCATTGTAACAGCACGAACAGGATGATAGATTTTGGGTAGAATATCTCTTTCGAAAGCCGCCAGAGCCTTCTCAATTTTGTTCGATACCGTCGATGCCTTTGTGTCACG